CAAATCAGCGTGGGCATCTATATATATATATATATAAAGTCTATATGTCATCGTTCTTTTTTGATATTATATATATCATCATTCTTCAAACAATAATATATTTAAACTTTGGTTAAATATCTTCAGCCAAATTGTTCTTTTTATTTATTATCTTGTTTTTCCTAACTATTTTATTGAAAGATTTATTTTGTCTAGATAAATAATTGAAAATTTTCTTTTCTACATTAATATCTATTTATTATTATAGATAAATATTATATGTCAAAAAATATTTTTTACATGAAAATATATTAATATTTGAACTACAATAAATACACATTTTATTACAATTTGTATATTTTCCTAATTCACTGTTATAATAATTTTCATTTAATTATATTTTTTTCATTGTCGTCTCACCTAAATAATATTTGATTGAACTTTTTCATTATCGAACCAAATTAGATTTTTTACAAGTAAATTGTAATTGAACTATTTAAACTAATTAAAAAATTAACTATATTTTAATTTTTTAAATTTAATTGATAATTTTATTCGGTACTTAACCCGTTGATAATCCACTCTAGTAAAGAAAAATGAGAAGATACCAAAAGAAAAATGTAAATAACGAAATAAACATTATATATATATATATGTGTGTGTATATATAATATGAACATGATACAACTTAACTACTCTTCCCTTCTTTTATTCATCAAACCTTATTTACATACGGGGAAGGTCATTCATTCTACAAAGAAGGCCACTACAGTCTACAGCAGATAAGAGGCAAACTAAGGAGTTTTAGTTTTCTGCCTTATTTATTCCTTTCAGCAAAACTTGTTCAAGCTATAGAACTCCACCAAGTCTATAGTTTTCACGCGCATAGCTCTTCCAAACATCTTGACCAGATACACCCACCTGAGTTAGTTACCAGTCATTGCCTCTTGACATCTAATTCTTCAGTCTTTGCAAATCTTCCACGGATTCTTGGTTGGCTATCTGCTAGTGCCTTCCTGCAAGCATACTGAAGAAAAAAAAAAGCACATTATTATTTGAAAGACTGAAAATAGAATCATTAAAATTATGTATAGTAAAAAGTTCTTAAAGAAGTGGTTTCAAACTTATCTCAATCTTACAAAATCAGTTTATAAGAAGAAGATTATTCTTCATTTATATACATTAGTCAATGTGAGGTCTTCAACAAAAATTAAGTTAAATTAAAAATATTTCTCGGCAAGTGAACATATTTTTAGCAGATGTGTGTGTTACATAGGATTTTTAAGGCTGTTCTGTTGTGAAACTCTCAATTTGAATAGTAGCATACTAGGATAGAAAACCTAGTTAGTTACCTTAATTTTCCTGCCAAAATTTCTCTTTGTCTTTTTATTCCTGTATCTGGAGAGCTTTTCTTGACGTTCCTCACTAGTGCAGTTGCTGGGAAGAAAAGTCCTTTCCCGGGGAGATTGGCCAATGTTTGTGTTGCCATTACTGAGAGTCTGTCATAAAAGCAGGGTCAATCATTTGCCCATCTTGTGTAAATGGCAAAATTTTTTTTTTGGAGTTTTCAAGACCTGTTTAGATAAACTTCTACAGAAGTACTGCTAGTCTTCTAGGAAGAAAAAAAATGTGAAATAAGCTTCTCTATAAACCAAACTTAGTTTATGCATAAACTAATTTGTAAAAGTTATATCATATAACTTCTCCAAAAAATTTACAAATCAGTTTGTGCATAAGCTAGTTTTAACTTCAGGAGAAATTTATTTCACTTTTCCTTATTTTTTTCTCCCAGAAGTGGTACTGTAAAAGTTTATCTAAACAAGCCCTCAGATCATATAGAAAAAGATAGCAATCAGATTTAGTCCATGCCATTATTCCTTATTGGTCATATTGTGTAAAGCATGAGTTAATGGCAGATCAATTGATAAAAACGAAGCTTTCATTCTTGACTGTGATAAAAACATCACAAGATATATGTTTGAAGCATACACAGAATATATGAATCAGTTTGAGTTTGACCTTTATATCTCCTTCACTAAATGCTCTCCGCATGCCATAAACTGCATTGAAATCTATTCCGGGGAAATCTAGGAATGCAGGCTTCATCGCAGCTCCATGCATCCAGTCCATTGAACTCAGACTTCCCGAACTGATACTCTTTGGTAGAGTCATGTCAGGAAGTGGTTTGTTTTCAGGAATTGAATTCTCCTCGATGTTCAAAGCTGGAACCTTGATTTCCATAATATCAGAGACTGGTGACTCTATCACTGTCTTTTCTAAGAGATCCTTTTTGCACTCATAGAATACCTCACTCAGAAGCTGTTCATTTTGAAGTACATCAATATCAGATGATTTTAGACCTTGTGAGGAGACATCATCCCCACAAGATATCATTGAAATGGCTGCTTGAACAGGATCAAGGTCCATGGCTGGTTCTTCAATTACAGGTTCAGGTGCTTTGAACAGATCTCCCTCTATTAACAAATCATATTCTGAGATTATAGAAGAAGATTGAACAAGGTCATTCTGCAAAGACAAGGAAAGATAAACAACATAATCAGTAAAAGCAGTCTTTTAACTTTGAACACAGACACATTAGATGTTGAATAATTAATAATAATAGACACCAATAACATCAGTAAAAACATCTTATCTGGTGTTAATATTAGTATTATGTATCCGTAACAAAAGAGGTAATAACAGCCTTGATTGGTTCTGAATGCAGTGTGACTTAACATGATTTAGTCTTCCAAAATTAAAAGTGCAAATAATTCGTGTATAATTGCATAAAAAGAAAACGACAGTTCCTTTAATGTTTAGTTATATATTATCCACTAATCAAATATTTTGAGAATTAGCAGTTGTTTATTTGCAAATGTTGAGAAGTTGCTCTAGCACAAGATACCAAAATTTTCAAGGTAAATTTGCACGATTCCTTAACTTGAAATAAAATGGTAAGGTCACTGTCCAATAAGTCGATGAAACGGTTTAGACCAATAGAAATTGATTGTCGACTGTTTTAGATCGGAAACACAGAAAACAAAACAAGAGAAAGAGAGCGAGAGCACTGAGGTGAAAAAGAAACTTTTTCAGCCAAATCAGCGTGGGCATCAAAGGTTCAAAGTACAATGTATGGATAACATGAAATTCTCCAGTTTGGTTGATGGAACCAGTTTTTAGTATATGGATAACATATATCATTGGTCAAATGATAGAAGCTAAACAAAACAAGGATTGTCAAGCTTTGTATTTAACTTCAAAGCAAATACTATATACAATGGCAAAACGCCATATTGGTACAACAAAGCAGAAGCTTTGCATAAATGAAAGATGCCAGTACATATTCAGCTGAAACTTCACATTGAAATGAAGAGCTGGCTAATGTCAGATTATTTGAATTGGTATTAGGTTCATGATTGCAAATTCAAAGCCCATGTTTCACCAAAATGCTGACTTTAAAAGAGTCCAGGAGTAGATGGCTGAAATATCGAAACAAAACTGGCATCATTTAATCCATAGAGTCTGTTTAGGTAAACTTATCCATTAGCACTTTTAGGAGAGAAAATCAAGAAGGAAAAATAAAATAAGTTTTTTCATGAGCTAAATTTAGCTTATGCACAAACTAGTAGAAGTTCTCTCCTATTAATTTCTCCAAAATCTTATTTTTAATTCATGCAAAAACTAATTTGAAGGTATGGAGAAACTTATTTCAATTTTCTTTCATATTTTTCTCTTTTATAAGTGGTTCTGGAGCAGTCAGATAATTGGATCAAAATTTTCTTTTATATGAATAGAACCAAAATATTGAAACTTTTGTACAACATAAAGGAGACCCGGTTAAAGCAATTCTCGATGATAAAAGTGAGAAAGTATCAAAATATCTTAAGCTCATACACAAAAATTGAGTCAAATTTCAATGAACAAAACACCAAGCGAAACCATATGAAAACAACTCATCAATACTTTCATTGTTTATTGCTGGAGAACAGAAATAGAAGTGCACAATTTTGCCAACTATATTTTTAGTGCCAGAAAAAACCATGTAGAAGCTATTAAGTTGAGCATTAACCAGTCCTTTTCCTTACTACAAAGAAAAAGAGAATAAAAGGACTTTTTCCTCTTCAATCAACCTTCCTCAGTGCGGCACAAAAAGACAAACCCCACTAAGAGTTCACACCAGAAATTAATAAAGAAAGGGCAGAAATATTACAGAACACGGAAGTATCACAACCAAGACACTTTCCATCTATACAACTTTTCTTTCCTTTTGTATCACTTTTCCAGATCCAGCACTTAAAGCCATGTCTAGCTGTTTCCCCTTGTGCTATGAGAATGACTATGTGAGTAAAAAATAAAAAAAATAAAGATAAATAACTAAATACATATTAAATGACAAAAAACAAATATATTTGGTTATTAGTTTTCCTTCTCAACCTTGATATTATCTATCATGTAAATAATCAAACATATACACACATATTAAAATATGATACTTTCCAAATTGGAAAGCTAAGCAGAAACATGAACATAATTCTAAGAAGCAAACCTTTCAATTTTATTTAACCTCATTTGCTCCAAAGTAAAATATTAATCATCCAGGATGCAAGAAGGAGCAGAACACAGAAAAGAGAAGAAAAATTGAAAATTATTCGGCTTAAGGAAAAACCCATGGAGCAAATGCAGAACAACTAAGTAGAGAAAGGGGAAGAAGCTGAACAAACATGAGAAAAAGATTAAAGTAAGTAGAAAGAAGAAAAAAAAGAGAAAAAAAAGAGAGGGTACCATTGAAGCATTGGACTTCTGGGTCATGCAGTACTCCTCAAGTTGTTGAAACTCTTGAGTGAAATTTCGAAAATATGGGAAGAGAAGTCCTGCCTCTGCAAACATTTTTCCAGTATTGAAAAATCTGAGCTTCAATGAGATACAGAAACACTTCCACAAAGTTTTTTATTTTTTTTTTATTTTTAAAGCAGAGCAAGACAAGCACTGCAACAAAGAGAAGCAAAATGCTAGCTAGAGAGAGAGAGGGGCTTGTGCTTGGATGATTTTAGGAGCAGCAAGACCGAGAATTTATATTATATAAAATTTGGGGAAAGTGACGTAAGAAAAATACTAAAATAAAGACAAAAGCAGGAAAAGGACACCATCATTTTTATAATGCAGTGACCCCATGTCCCTTGTCATGCTCATTAAACAAAAAATAATAATAGTTTTTTACAAAAGATATAATATTTTGTAATATTATATTTGCAAATTGTAGCACAGAATACAGGTGAAGTGCACCAAGCCAATACCCGTGGATCGTAGACATGTTGGTGGGGTTGGGGCTTAGAGGTGAACAGAGATCATCACTAACCATTCAACAGTTATCCCTTGTAGCCAGTGCAAGCACTAATTCATAAGTTCACAAACAAAAAAATGTGTACGGAGCAGACCGCCATAACAACCGGCAACCCCGGTGGCACCACCGCATACAATTCTTTTGAGTCGGTGACAAATAAGCCAATGACAAATAAACCGGTCGTGCAAGCATTAATTCATACGTTCTCAAATGTTGTTGTGCTACTCATCTCAATCAAGCCGAGCAGAACGCCTCCAGCTTGTTCACGTTGGCCCCTCGCAAATTGTCATGCAATAAAATCTTTGGCAGTTAATCCTTGGAGGATAACAATATCTTAGTATAAATATCTTTCATAAATATTATATTTTATTATGTTATGATTATCTAACAAAATATTTTTATTTATGTAGAATAATGTCTTCACGCAATAAATCATATATATAATTATAAGGATATCTCATAATTATCATGTAGGATGATTTCTTTAACTTAATTCATAACCTAACTTTCTCTCTAACTTAAAAATGTAAGAGTGTCTTTACAAATTCTCACTGCGGACATTAGAGCAATTAAGATGTTATCTCCATCTTTGAAACACTTGCAGGATTTTAGTAAGAACATTTGTTGCCTACCATGGGACCAAAGTGAAACTATTCTCGTTTTCACTCAAAATCAAACATTGAACAACCACGTAGCAAGAACCTCCATAACAAGGAAACCCCAACCACTCGATTGCATAAAATTCTTTTGAGTCAGGGACAAATAAATTGGAACCAACACAATTTGGCCGTGATCTCTCTTCCATATTGGAAACACATTGATCATCATCTTCAAGGTAAGCTAAGTGACATGCACAATCAAATCATACATGGGTGCAACACTACTCAATTTAACACCAAAATGTCAATGAGAGACACTTGCATCGCCCAGAACTTCCAACCCTACGAGGAGACTTATTCCTCTCCTCGAGTTCCCCTAGGGCAACTCTTCAGCAAACGTTGCGATCATCACTTCACTGATGACATCACCATGTTAAGCTCAACATACAACGGCTACAAAATAAGCACCACAAGGCAAGCAAAAATGAACATATCATCGTCAAACATAGAAACGGGTTCAATCTATAATTTTACAATGGGAAGCTAAATTAAAGAAGTTATTATGTTTCACTATATAATGGGTGTTACTCCATGATATGACATCACTACTAGCTACATATATGCATGAAGTACATGAGTCATAAATGAAAAAATTCCCTTCCTTTCCTTAAAGTTGTAACAACTATCATATAATTCCCCCCACGTCACTCATAAGCATAATCACAAACTTTTGAATTCGTCCGTGATTATGAAAATTCATGAATCAATGTTATATAATGTGTTTTTGGGTAAAAATAAGTGTTTCTAACCAATTGGATCAGTAAAAGAATGATTGTATGACTGATTATGAATTTTGGTGACGTTCTGTTCATGCTGCATTCTGGAAAACATGTTAGGCATTGGGCTTGAGTTGTTGGCGTCGAGCTTGCATTCATAATGATGAATGTGAAACTTAGATGAGGTTACTCCGAGTGTGGGATGTATCACATCGAGCATGACAAATTAAGTGAGTCTCTGCATTGCCTTAACATTGGGTGTGGCTCACTAACATCGGACATGAGAGAGATAGGGTGCTCTCTGTTTTCCCTTAGCACCGAGGGTGAAAATGTTTTGCACTCTCTGTTCTGGCTTAGAGTCGGGTGTGGCCTGGTGAAGCTTGACACAGACTATGAATATGTTATATATTGAGGAATTTTGATGATAGTTGTGAATGGTATAGTGTCCAATGGTGATTATTGTATGATTAAGTATGAATGGTGAGTATTTGAATGAGTTGATGTACAAATGTGAGTGAATGTGGCCTTATATTTAATTTTTCATTGGCATTGATAGAAATGATGAATGGATAAGGTGACAAGACATGAGCATTTGTGCATGTTGCATACACATTTACCTTGACCATAAGTGGTGATTAATAGGGAAATTTGTATACACTGGCAGTGTGACACCATTCATAAGTAATGTAAACAATGTGACTATGTGTGACGAAGCCTGAGGAGATCGATGAAGTTCACCTATTGCACAACGTTCTGAGTTGATGCTTCTTAAGAGGTTGCATTGCATATGTATTGACATGAGCACAAGCTTGATGCATGATTTTTATGATGATACGATAGTGGTGATATTAATTGATGTACATGTATATATGAGATAATAATATTATTGTGAATCGTATGAGAGTTGATTATATGTTTGGGTGGGATTCTTTTCTTGTGTCAAACATATGAATAACCATTTTTCTCAGCATTACATATGCATTGACATGAGCACAAGCTTGATGCATGATTTGTATGATGATGTGATAATGGTGATATTAATTGATGTACATGTATATATGAGATAATAATATTATTGTGATTGGTTATTATTGTGAATCGTATGAAGGTTGATTATATGTTTGGGTGGGATTCTTTTCTTGTGTCATACATATGAATAACCGTTTTTCTCACTCTTGTACATTGTGGTTTTGTTTCAGATAATGAGATAAGTGATGAGGTCGGTACTCAAGGTACCGAGAGTTGAAGCGACGGGTTATCTATGATAATGTGACATCGGGGCAATGTGAATAGAAAATGATTTTATCTTTCATATTGATTTACCTTTTCTTGTTGAAAACCTTACATCTTATAATTATTTTTGTTTGGTTGGATGATTAGAAGTGGATTACATGTGAACATGTTTTACCTGAATTGTTAAATTTCTCCCTTATTTAATTATATTATTTGTTGGGGTAGAATGGGTGTCACAATTGCCGCATGTAATTCATCTAACATATCATCTAATTTAGGGATTGGATGCCTATACTTAATGGTGATGTTATTTATAGCTCTACAATCTATGCACATCCTCCATTTCCTATCTTTCTTAGTCACTAATAGGATAGACATAACACAAGGACTACGAATATTTTAAACCCAACTTTTCTTCAACAAGTCTTCAACTTGACTCTTAATCTCTTTTGTTTCTTGGGGATTTGTCCTATAAGCAGGCTTATTGAGTAGGCTAGCTCAAGGAATCAAGTTAATTTGATGTTTTATTTTTCTTAAAGATGGAAGTCCACCAGGAACTTCCTTAAGAAATACCATAAAAGTGTAACGACCCGCCATGATCTCTACACTTAGTGGAATCGCACTACTACTAGTGAACTACGAGAAATATTACGCTGGATAACTCATACATACAAGTATATATAAAAATAACTAAGTTTCTTAAAATAAAATACCATATATGTACAGTTATCCCAAAAGATAATATGACCCTAGTGCCGGTCAAGCACAAACAAAACTGTTACCAAAATGATAACTCTAACACGAGGATCAAACTCCCCATCTCGCAGCGGTCACCTCAACTCTAAGCTAGCCCTGACCTGCTCCCATACAAGATATGATCATCGCAGTCCATCCACATGGAAACAGAAGGGTAAGCTAGAGTTCAAAACCAATCATACAAGTACAGAATAAAATCTATACTACACATCATCCAACTATCAATCATGCATAAAATACAATCCACCAATCATGAAGTCAAACACCACACTTCATCATACTAATAATCATGCAATAAATACATCTCATGACAAATATCAATGCATATCAATCATCTAATGCGTCGTCACGCATACACATAGAAGATCTCCATAACAATAGAGCTGTATAAGTGACATTCCATCCTACCGAAACCACCCCAACCATTTTCACGCCCAATGCGCCCGCTCGGTCACAGCTAAACAGGATATAATCCTCACTCGGGTTTACTCGGATGATGTCACTTACACAATTGGAAGTCCAGATCCACTGTCAGGTATAGCACAGCTGGGTACGGGCTTACCACGACCTTGGCATGCATAACCAAGTCAATTGTGGAGTTCGCCCACCGACTATCCGCAAGGATCCACACAACCTTCCCAAGTACTTGGTTAAGGGAATAACCCTCGACCTCATACCCCGCTCCAACACTAGCTAAGGACTTAGAGGAGACTCACCCAACCCAGTGGCCTATCTAAGCACCACTCTCCCAAATCCAGTGGCCTCCCTGAGCACAACTCTCATATATCAGTGGCCTATCCAAGCACCACTCTCAAGAGACTCTATGTGAGCTCTTCCAGTTCATTTAAAAGCCTTTGAACCTCATTAGGAAAAAAGTGAAATTCAAGACTAGTGATAGTAGTTTCTCTTTAATGTATATAAGGTAAAGAGGTTGTTCTACCAGAAGTGCTTGTTTTGTTTCATGTTTGAAAGAAAATGGACTTCTTGGAACAATTGCCTTAGAGGAGACACCATTGTTCAATTCAATTATCTCCCATCTGTCCCCACTAACACAATTTTTTTTCTCTTATTTTTTCACTCTCTATTTTCTTTTTCATTATGAGTTGATCCTTTAAGACTTGTGAAGGTAATAGAAGAGTCCACACAAATTTCTTTCCCATATGAGTGAGACATTTTGTTAGTAAGACCATCATAGATAACCTTCCTATCATATTGCCTAGGTCTACCAAGTAATACATGTCTTGCTTCCATAGGTATGATATCACATAAAACTTTATCTCTGTACTTCCCAATGGAGAAATAAATGTTTACTTGTTCCTTAACTTATAATGGTCTATCTTCATTTA